ATTATACATTTTTAACTGTCACTCTACCTGACATTCAACCAACTTTAAACTTGATCTTGAGTCCGGTCCAGAACATTCAGACCTACTAGGGGTGGGGGGGGGGTGGAAGGACATGTGTGGATTATATTGTACATGCATAAAATACATTATAAGCATGCGTAATTATACATTATTAACTCTCACTCTACCTCACACTCAACCAACTTTAAACTTGATCCCGAGTCCAGTCCAGAACAGTCAGACCTACTAGAGGTGGTGGGGGGTGGAAGGACATGTGTGGATTATATTGTACATGCATAAAATACATTATAAGCATGCGTAATTATACATTATTAACTCTCACTCTACCTCACACTCAACCAACTTTAAACTTGATCCCTGTAGAAATAAAAAAGACAAAAATATTTAAACAATAGAATAAGTAAAGATCAATGGGACAGTGCTTTATTACATGTAATGGGATGAATAGTGATAAAATGAGCCGTTTATTATTAGCACTGTAATCAAGGTTATTAATAACATGCAATAGATACATTGTTACCATACACTGAAGACTGGGACTGAATTGATGCTGAAGAAGACTGCATGCTGGCTTGAGTCTGTGTAGCAATCTTAAGGAAAGGGAAATAGAATACATGTTACAGATAAGGATGTACATGTACATGATAGTGTGTGGATATCATTAACCAATAGAGAACTGTCTCTGATCCATTGACACAAGTAATGAACATCAACCTGAAATATACAAAATATATAAATTTAATCATCACGTATTAACAATAAGATACTGACAGTAAAAGAGTAACACCAAAACATGAAAATGTGTGAAAGAATAGTGAGAATATTACCAAAACCCAGACACTTGGGTAGTTCAGTTCCACCTTTAGAATACTAAAAATAAACAAGAATACATTTTAAATTTTTCCATTTGTTACCCAAACATAACCATGAAATAAAGACTTAATTCAGTGTATTTATGAACCTGTAAAATAAATAATAATATAATCATATACTGGACAATACTTAAAATATCCTGAATGGATCAGGTACATGAATATAACCTGTAAAATAGATAATAATACAAGAACAACACATATTTACTGTACAATAGATGAGACTTGAAACAATATACTGAGTAATATCCTAAAAATATACAAAAGTATATTTGAACACATAAATATAAGTACGTACGACACTTGAAATAGTATCCTGAGTAATATCCTAAAAATATACAAGAGTACACTAGAATGCATACATATGTACACGTACATGTATAAAGATTAGGGCAGGACTTTATTACCTACAAACATAAGAGTGTACATAATAATAATACACACGTACCAATAATGAATGAATGGATCATTGAAATACTGACTGGTTGTCCTACATAAAACAATAGAGCCAGTATAATATGATATAATACACACACTACCATACAACTTGAAATTTCCTGGCATAGTCTTCAACAGCTTCAGTTTTGAGAACAAGAATAGAGGAACAACTTACACCAG